CCTAGTTTTTAAAACGTATGGCTGACATAGTATGTGAGAAGTGGTATAACATTATGGTATAGTTTGCATTTCTCCAATAACTAATGATGTTTAGCTATGTTTCATGGGTCATTAGCCATTCAGGAAGTTGCTGTGGAGAGATGTCTACTTAAATCTTTGGCCCATTTTTGAACTGTGGTTTTTATTTTGAGTGGTAGACTATACTTCTATATTCTCAATATTAATCCCTTATTAGGCGCACAATCTACAAATATTTTCTCCCATTCTGTATGTTGTCTTTTTGCTTTCTTAATAGTACTCTTTGATTCACAAAAGTTCCTAATTTTGGTAAAGTTCAGTTTTTCTACTTTTGTTTTTGTTTCTTGTGCATTTTTTTTTTTTAACCATAGCCATTTAATCATTTGGCTCTAAAGCGAGTCTCTTGTGGAAAGCATAAAGTTGGATCATGGCCACACCTGGATTGGCCTCAAGTTTTTGACGAGATTGCTTCTATGCAATGAAGAATAGATTAATTACTTTTCTCTCACTGATTTTAAGCTTCAAGTATAGTCACTGTCTTTCAACAGACTGTTGTGTCTCAATGTAGATGTCTTTAATTTTATTCTACTTGGACTTCATTGAGCTTCTTGGATATATAGTTTCATATCTATCACCCATTTTGGGAATATTCAGCTGCAGATTTAGCTCATTAGTTCTGCTGCCTGCCTCACAAGTGCAAGGTTCCCAGTTAGATCTCTGGTACAAAACAAAACAAACAAAAACCACAATTTGGGAATTTTCAGTCATTATTTCTTCAAATTTTATTTTTTCCCCTTCTCTCTTTTTCTTCAGAGACTCTCAAAATTCCTATGTTGATTTACTTAATGACTTTCTACAGAACGCTTAGGCTTCATGAACTTTTTCATTTTTTTTTTTTTTTTTTTTTTTTTCTTGAGAGACTTAATCATTTCAATGTTTGTCTACAACTACCTTATTTTCACTGAATTCTTCTTTTGTCTGCTCGAATCTGCTCTTGAATTTTTATTTGTGATTATATGCTTTGTTGCTCCAGGATTGTCTCTTTATTCATATTCTCATTTTGTTCTCTATGTGTTCTAGTTCTTTGCACATCTTTAAGACATAGAATCTTTTTCTAGTTACTCTAATGTTGGGGCTTCTTCAGGGATGGTTTGTGATTAATTTTGTTTTTTGTTCCTTCCAATGTATACATACTTTTTTTCCTTCCTTGTATGTCTTTTGACCCCCCCCCCATGAAATCTGGACATTTGAAGCTTACAATATGGCAACTATCTTTTGATTGCTTGAATTTGTGCCACAAATTAGCCTCCAGTGAGAGTTTAAGGTCTTCTTGGGTTGTTCTGAATCTCTGACTTTCTCTGGATGTGTATGTTAACTTCCTAAACTCCCCCATGTATATGGTTGCTTTTACATGTCCTAATCTTTAAGTGGCTGGCCTCCCCAATGGGAGAGAAATGCAGAAGGAAATGGGCAGGTTTTTTTTTTTTTTTGGTACCGGGGATTGAACTCGGGTCCTTGGGCTTGCAAGGCAGGACACTGAACCGCTGAGCTAAATCCCCCACCCCGGAAATGGGCAGTTTTAAATTTTAATAAATAGTTTTAAGTTTCCTTAAAAATTTTAAAGCTCGTGAGGGTTAAAACAGTGGTGACCAGCCCCTGTGCCGGCTAAGATATCTCCTGGGAACTTGTTAGTTTTAAGGACTACAAAATTCCAAAAGAGTTTCTTCAGACAGTTTGTGCAAGTGTAATTGTTCCCTAAGTGCAGAGATGAATTCCTGGTGCTTCTACTCCTTCAGCTTCTCTGACATCACTCTTCTATAAAGTTCTTTCTCCACCCTGGTAAGAGGAACCAAGGGAGGAAGTGGTCATCACTGACCCAATGTTTTGAAGACCAGCAGAATGATCCTAAGGTCTGAGTTTTGTGACATGGAACAAACCTTCAAAGACTATGGAAAAATCAGGATAAAATTTAGGCTATGTTATCTGGGCAACCTTATTGCTTCACTTGAAAGTGTTCTTCAGAACTGAAATCCCTGTGCTTCTGTAGTTTGATTCACTAAAAGTAAGTCTTTATTTTTCCAGACGTTAGTCTTTCTTTTGGTTTTTCTTAGCTGCATGCAAACTGCAGTTTTGGAATAGTATGCAGAAGGCGATTTTCTCCTGCAAGACACTCAAACTGACTACAAGATTAATCACAGGAGATTCTTGTTCTCCAAGGACTGTCTGGGCAATGTGATGATTAAGCTTAATTTTTGACTTAACAGGACTAACTTATTGCTGTTCAAAGTGGAATGTGCCATTAGGAAGTGGGTCACTGGGGGCTGTGCCTTTGGAGGGTTTCTCTCTCACTAGCACTGGTCTGCTGGTTTCTGCTTCCTACCCACCATGAAGTGAGCAACTTGGTTCTACCATGCCCTTCTGCTATGATGTTCCTGCTGTGGAGCCAGCCTACCATGGACTGAAAACCACGAAACTGCAAACCAAATAAATAATTTCCTTAAACACTTAAAAGTAGTGTATGTCAGGCATTTTGGCCATAGTGATGAAAAGCTGACCAATACAGACAGCACTTAACAGCCATATACCTTAAAGTAGCATGTGTAGCTCGCTGATATAGTGCCTAGCACCTTCTGCCTTATCCTAGACAGCAGTGATTTTCCATGTTGCATCTTTGCCTAATACATCTATGCCCAATACATGTTTGCTGAGCTAACAAATTGGATGGAGCCTTTGCAAGAGTTCCCCACAGGAATTTATTTAGCAAATATATGTGTGAATGTTGTGTACATAGTCGCTACACAGGTGCTTCTCACATCTTGCTGCTCATCAGAATCACCCAACAGACTTCTCCCAAATTTTGATTCCTATCTTCCAGCCACAGAGATTTGTTTTGGTAAATCACCCTACATTCTTCAAAAGCTACTTGGGTAATTCTGAAATGCAGATAGCATGGAGAAGCACAGACCTTTGACTGGCTGTGAACATTCAATAGTCAGAGTATTTCTGGCTGGAAATGTAGCTCAGTGGTAGAATGGACAATGCCCTGGGTTCATCCCCCAGTGTGGAAAGAGACAATGAAGGTCTTCCACTTTTCAAGTAAGATTCAGTGTAACTAGCTTTGGAGCTTTAAGACTGTGTTCCAATTCCCGCTATTCCCTATTATCTTTAGACAAGTTTACCTAATCCTTCAGAGCCCCCGTTTCTTTGTCTATAAATAGGGGCTGCGCGGTTAGTAAGAAGATTTATGTAAAGCCTTGGCACTCTAAGACAATAAATGTTGGCCAGGTTTATTCTGGTGTGCAGATGTGCCACCACCTTTATTCAGATGCTGTCTACTGCAGTACACTTTATCCAGCCAGCTTTTGGGAAACTAGGGAGGGTTTGGAGGGGTGTTCCTGGCCCATCTGTCAAATGAAAGCTCTAAAGACCTTGGAACCAGAGGCACTAAGCTTGATGCACGCAGGCTGGCCGGGCGGCGGCGGTGGCTGCGCTGTACACGGCCACTAGGGGCCGCTCGCGCCCCCAGGCTCCTGCG